TCATACCCGTCTGCAGAGAACTCGTTTTGGAAGGAAATTGTTGCTAGCCAATTCAATTAGGTGTACATGGAAATTGAAATGAGAATTAGGGCAATAATGTCTTTTTATATACAAAGACATTCTAGTCATTTACAAATTATATTTTCAATTATTCATATATTTGGGTTATCTAACTAAAGAAGTTAGTTGATGGTCTATTTAAACAAAAACTTGGTTTGACTAGGGTAAGTAAACAAAGTCCCCCCTTGTTCAGACGTGGCGACGTGTGGGGGCGCCTGCGGGGAATAATCCTAGGTACAACCTCCTGTCCACGTCACCCAATTTCATCATGCATGATGGATCCCACATATCGACTGATCTGGATCACAGTCGTTTAGCACAATAAAACGGCGCCGTATGACAAACTCACGCACATCACATGTATTATCTCCGAACTCTTTGGTTTCATCAGCTACTCTGGCCCCCTCTTCTCCTCTGGTGGATTCCCCAAACAATCACACACGCACACTCTCTCGCACACACACGCGCGCACACACACACGCGCACTATATATCTATCTCTATCTCTATCTCTATATCTTTCTATATATTTGTGTCGTGGAGTGTGTTTGGTGCGAGCAATGGCGGCGGCGTTTGGGGCAGCTACGGCATCAGCGACTGAAAATGCACTCAAGTCATCCCCTTACTTGCCGCTCTGCCATCGCCATTTCCTCCGCTCGAGCTCCAAGGTTACATTTCGCCTCTCTCACAAGCCCAAGCTCCGGCTTTACTCGAAGGTAGTGAAATTGAATCTCCTGTTTGATTTTCTGTTGATTTGTTGTGATAAAGGATATTGGAATCGTGTTTATTTAATTCATTTTGTGCGCAATTTGTGACCTGATTTATGAGACGGATGACGGATCTCAGTTTCTCTGACTTTGGCCATGTCTCGGCACATAAATGTAAGAAGTGTGTGAATGCTTATTAATGTGAGATGTGTTTTTTTAATCTTTTATATCTTGGTTATTTTGTTTATGCTGTTATTTAGTTCTAGCTGGAAAAATTGAATTCAGATTTTCTTTGAGAGAAAAGTTAAAATTTAATTTTTAATGAGTGAGAGAGAGAAACGCGGGTTGCGTTCCTTCATGCAATTTACGTTTCTCCATTGTTTTGAAAAGCATGCTTATGCCTTGTGGCCCTTGGACGACTCGCCTGTTTATGCTTTGATTGCTATTTGAAAAGGTTTAGGCCTTGATTTAGTAAGGCACGCTGCATCAAGGCATATGTTTTGGGTTATCCGAGGTGGGCACCCATTTGCATTGCCTTCTTATTTAGAATTTTTTATCACTGGTCTCAAGGCATTTTCCTTATAGCCTTGAATATATTTTTGATTTTTTGAGCCATTTTATATTTTTGATTTTTTGAGCCATTTTATATATAAACTAACCGTAAAGCTTAAAGAATTGGATAATAGAGAAGAGAACAAGTGAAGCTGGGGGTACTTAGCCTCCTGTTATTGAAATGTGTAAAGAAATTAAAACGTAGATTCAATATGAAAACATATTGAAGGAACTTGAGAAAAAGAACACTTTATTAATCATCAAGCTCAAGTAATATTGTGAATACATTGCTCTATTTATAGCGTAAATTTCTAACAAATTAACTACATAACAAACAAAAGAAGAATCTAGTAGAAGCATGTGCTGGAGATGGAAGAAGGATCTCGAAGAAGGATATGATATTGGAATATTCCAACATTCCCCCCTCAAGATGGAACATCTTAAATTGTAGAGAAAAGAGCAGAGATTCAAGAGAAGCCGTGGTAGACAATAACATCCAGCGAAGAAGCAATTCAGAGAAAAACAGCAACATAATTCAACCGGAATAAGTGAGCATCCATGGCTCTAAAATCGGGCATTTGTTGAAGACAAACATCATCAACATTGAAGAGTAAAAGGAAAACTGGAAATGCAAAACAAACTCTAGCAAGGAAATGTATCCCTCTACGCTCTCTGATTTATTTTTATTTTTTTCAATCGATGCCAAGTTTAAATCATTCATCATTAATGGTTTTTATTGCTTAAAATACAGAAGAAACCTAAGGGAACTATAAACGCATTTTCTGTTTCTAATTTTTTTTTAGCATAATCCACAAAGGATATTTAGAATTAATTACCAATCTGTAGCATCTACTAACAGACAAAGAAATTCCACAGTTCATTCAATGTGCCAATAGAATGTTATTATTGACACTATTTTCACTCCCACCGAACAAATCCATACTCTGGCCGGATGAATCCGGAACCGTTCCTTAGAAGTTCAGGCTAGGGACGAAAACAGCTCTAGCAGCCATAAGCTTCTTCCTCTGAGGGCAACGCGGGCAGTAGATCCGGCCTGATAAGAACGAGGGAGAGGACGGAGGCCAGCTAGTCTGCATAGGCGAGCCAAGGGAAGCAGCTGCAGAAGACCGAAGCGTAGAAGCACAGATCTGAGCCTGGAACAACGATTTAGTGACTTGGTGAGTTCTGGAGGCATTGATTCGTGAGTCCCTGAGTTGAGCCAATGCGTCGGGCTTCAAGTAGCAGAGGTATGCCGCCGTGTTGTTAGGCGACGAGTGTCTCCAGAGACGGTGCTCCATTGTCTCGTAGATACAACTTTAGATAAGAATAAAACTATACGTGCAGGGAGAGAAAGAGAGAAGGGGGAAGAAAGTGATAGAGTTGCAGACGGAAGGAGCATTTTTTTTTCTCTGATACCATGTAAAGAAATTAAAAGGTAGATTCAATATGAAAATATATTGAAAGGAACTTGAGAAGAGGAACACTTTATTAATCATCAAGTTCAAGTAATATTGTGAATACATTGCTCTATTTATAGAGTAAATTTCTAACAAATTAACTACATAACAAATAAGAGAAGAATCTAGAAGAAGCATGTGCTGGATCTGGAAGAAGGATATGATATTGGAATATTCCAACAAAATGTGATAAACCCATTTTTGTAGTAGTTAAGTTGCAGCACTTTAGCAGCTGAAGAACGAGGATGGGAGACCTAGAATACGTAACTTCACTCTTGTATTTCTTTATTTTTTTTCCTGTTATGTTACTGTTTTTTTTTTCCTTTCTCTGGATCTTTTGTTCAAGAACCAAAGTCAAAGCAACCAAAATTCTTGAAAAGATAACTAGTTATTCATTTGAATTAGAGTAAATATCGCTTCATGAAATTGATCGCCCGAAAAGAAGGAATGAAGAAGAAATGTTGTGAAGTTGCATGGATCACTTAAGCCAATGTTTGATGAAGTCTTCATCTATATCAAGATGCATTATTCTTTTAATTTGACGCAAAATATAACTTGAACATTCTCTATCACCACTCAAAAAAACTTGGAAGTTCAAGAATGATGTGAATCCTCACTGTGACTAAGATTTGCTTTGGCAACAAATAGTATTTGAATATCTATACATCAGAAGTGGATGCATGACTTTTGCTATTAGAATAACTACATCTTTCTCGTTTAAATTTCTTCCACCATTGAGAGATGATAAAATGAACCACCCTCTAATGCCACTTGAGAAGTTCAAAGAAGAAGATACAATGCAGAACAGAGTTTTCCTTTGCCTTTTTGAGATGCAGGTTCTGGCTCTAAGGATAATCATGAGAAATAGAAAACAAGCAAATATGAATATATAATTTCATTACTGATGGTTTAATTCTTCAATTCTAGTCTCCATTTGGAAAGTCAGTTTTCACTCTTAAGTTCTCAACACCCCCCCCCCCCCCCCCCCCCCCCCNCCCCCCCCCCCCCCCAACAAATCTTTGCCCTTAAGGTTCATGATCCAAATTAAATTGTGAAGACCTTTTAGCTTACAGTATTTTGTGATTTCCAATCGAACTTAACAATTCATAATGTAAGCAAGGAAAAGGTAACAGAAAAAGGAAAAGAACAAGAAAAGGCTCTCTAGCTTAAATTACAAAATGAAGGATTTTGCTTTATCTTGACTTTCCTTGTTATTAAGTATGATATCTAATTAGAGAAAAGCAGTTACACAAAATTTGCAGATTTTATTTCCCTTTCCACACTGGGAAACAAATTGAATTTATTTTTCTATTCCTCAACTGGACGTCCTAGAGTTCTCATTATAATATGTCTGAAATGAGTTTCTGTTGTATAGAGTTTGCAGTCTGGTTGGAACTGTTCTGCTGTGGTGAGAGCTCAATTGAGCGAGGTAAGGTTTTCCCAGTGGTTTTGAGTTGAGGAACTTTTTTTAAATTTTTCGTTCCTTTGTGGAAACGTTTTGGGAGCCTTCTGTTGTCTTCAAGGTTTCTGCGGATGGATCTGCAAATGATGCATCCACCACTCCTGCTAAATCAGAGGTATCATCTGCAGAAGCGAAGGATGTCAAGAACTCTGAGTCTCCACCTCCCATTTTGGCCTCAGAAGAATCAATATCTCAGTTTTTTACTCGAGTTGCAAGCCTTGTTAAGTAAGCACACTCAGTATCATATTCTTCTGATTGCCTCGTTCCATTTTCTTGAACGAGTGAGGTCATTATTCAACTGTCATACAGGTTAGTCGATTCTAAGGATATTGTGGAACTTCAATTGAAACAAGTTGACAGTGAAATTTTAATACGTAAAAAGGAGGCTTTACCTCCACCACCGCCTGCTCCTGTGACAATGGTGCATTCACATGCTCAACCTGCTGTACTGCCTCCAGTCACCGCACCTTCTCCTTTGCCGACTCCCGCACCTTCTGCTGCACCAACCCCAGCACCTTCTCCTAAAGCTCAAGCATCCGAGTCATCTCTTCCACCACTTAAATGCCCCATGGCGGGGACATTCTACCGAAGTCCAGGACCTGGTGAACCACCATTTGTGAAGGTGAGTGGCATAAATGCAATAATAGAAAGTACGGAAGGCAGGCCTTTATATTTATTATATGATAATTATGTAATTTGTTACAAAATGTGAGGACTGCTTTACCCTCTGAAGTTGTGCATTCTCATTCCTCTGATTAAAGCTGAATTTTTAATCAAAAACTACTGCTAAATTACACGTATGTTAACAGAGCTCGGATAGCTGACAGCATAACAAAATTGTGTATCTGAATGAGTGTGTATGTGTTTCCATTTGGCTTACTATATGCATTTTTGTGCAGGTTGGAGACAAAGTACAGAAGGGGCAGGTTCTCTGCATCATTGAGGCAATGAAGTTGATGAATGAAATAGAAGTAAGTAAATTTTCTTTTCTATCTGCAGTTGTTTTTGAGATTCTACCATTGTGGTTTGAGTTGTGGCTTTGCTGTTTCTTGTTCAACTAGGCCAATAAAGTCGATTGCTTTTTAATATTCTCAAGTGCTAATTACTGCTAAATACTTGGGCAGTGAAACCTCAAGAGGCTGTTCTTTTCGTATTTCAGTTTTTAATTTTGAGTTTTGAATTCATTTTGGGTTTTGTATTTTGAGTGTCCATTTTGAGATTACTGAAAAAGAGTTCTTTTTGTTCTTCTGAAAAATTATTTTCAAAAATAAAAAATGAAAAACACGTTTACTTTCTAATTTTGAAAAACTGATTATTCAATATATATATAGTTCTTTTACTTGTATAACAAAACAAAAGTGGCTGCCATTGTGTTTAAGGTATTGAAATTCCCTACTAGTGGCCCGGGTTCGAATCTCAGTCACCGACCAATTTATTTGAAAAAATTTTGTATTGTGCATATAAAAAGAAAATTCATTTGTATTGAATTGCTGTGAAATGGAATCGAACTCGAACTCGTGGCCTTCAGAAAATATGTGACTCTCCCAACTAACATATCCCGCTATTGGCAAAATCCGGCCGTTTTCCGCGTTTTGAAGTTTTGGTTTGGTTTTAACTAAAAACAGTTAAAATGACATTTTCGAAGTTTTCCGTTTTCTTTGTAAATTTTAAACTCGTTTTTGAAATTCGCTTCTGAAAATAGGTAAATAAACATGTTTTCAGTATTTTCGAAAACTAAAAACTGAAAATGGCCAGAAAACAGCAAAGAGAAGAAGCCCTAAATTTTTCTTTTTTTGTTTTGAACTATATCAATGATATCTTCTGTTTTTTCATGCTTCACAATCCAATCTAATCTTTGAAATAATGTTTCCAATGTCTTTATCTAATGACTGCTTTAAGAGTAGTGTTTGAGCATACTTAAGCCTTTGTTTAGCCAGCCCCCCTTCGAAACTCATTATTTCCTCAAAGTCATTTTCAACCACACATTTTATAGAACTCACAACTTTTATCAACTTTTAAAGCACGCATTTCATTTACTTTTATCAAAATCTACTAAAAATATGACGTTTAGCTAAACCAAACAGGGTTTTAATGGATTATCATCTTATGAGAATTTGTTAGAAAACAACTTTCTTGCAAAAATGTAATAATGTAACATACAACATGCTTGGGTGTTTTATTAACGGTTTAAAGTACAAATAGATAGAAATGAGAGGTGGATAAGTAGGTAGTACTTGTAGATCCCGCGAAATATGTGGATAAAAAGTTGTTTGACCAATTATAAACTATTTATAAACAATACCCAAACAAGGCATGGTGTTTCTGTTCGATTAATAATACATTAGCAATTTTGAACTGAAACGTCGTCATCAAAGTTTCTTCTTGCTCATTTCTCTATATGTTCTTTTTTTATTAGCACAACCTTTCTATATCATAGAATTATCCTACTAAATGTGGAGTATATTTATTGAGAAATGTTATTTTTTGTTATTAAGCCCCTCTTTGGCCCCCATTAAAATTTTAATATATTTTTTTCTCTTCTTTTCAACCACACATTCTCCAATAAAATAATATTATACATAAATCAAAAACTTTTTCTTATTTTTTAGCCAGACATTCTCCCAAAAATTACTATTTCAAAATACATTATCTCCAAAAATCTCATTATAATAGGGGCCAAACAAGGGCTAAGCACTTGTTTTAGCCCCATTCTCTCCAAACTCATTTTCAATCACATTTTCTTCCAGTGAAATAATTTTGCAAGTAAACGCTAAATTTTCGCTTCCTTTTAACCACAAATTCTCCCAAAAACTCATTTATATAGGTTCACTTTACTTATTTTCTTATCTCAATTATATAGTCTTGTTTCTTTATTAAGAATATTTTGTTTTGTCCGTTTACTAATATACCATTATTTCTTTACTACTTCCAATAATAATTTACTATTAGTTATTAATAATGAAATAAGGGTAAATTAGGGAAGTTTTTAGCAAAAATTGTTTTTTCAATAACATTTAATAAGATTTCTTAATTCGTGTGAAAAACAAAACAAGCCTATATAAATAGGATGGAGGGAGTATTACAATATCTATTCTTTCAAAAAATGGGGCTCAAATAGAGCCTAAGTTTGAAATTATTGTAGTTGCAGCAGAAGGAGACCAAAGCTGTAAGTTAAAGCTAGTTTATGGTCTGAGAATATCTCTGCTTAACTTGTTAGACTACAAAGATGAGTTAGCCATAAAGGCAGTGCATGACTCACACTGAATTAATACTCATGCCTGCATTCAAAATCATGCATATGATTGTGTTCCTCTTTGAATGTCTTTGCCTTGCTCATTATCTCCACTCTCCTATGAGGCATAAACATGCTGTGCACATAGGGCACTACATTTTCTGAAAATTGGTTCTTGATAGAAATTATTCGCTCCTTACAATCAAAGTCTTGGAAATTTTAGAGTTCAGGTGAGTTGATAATGTGAGTATTTGAGAGACCTTTCGATTTTCTCTCAAAACAATGTCCAAGAATTCGCATGAGCTGCATCACTCACATCATGTACTTCAATTAAGGGTATTTTCAAAGAAAAATAATAATTTTTCTGTAGAAGAGATCACTCTTTGGGAATTTTTCACCAGGGAAACAAGGTCATTCGACCATGGATGAGGTAACATTTTGTTATGTACCATCCAATTTCATTTAAGTGAATTGTCAAGCATATATGCAATGACTTGTTAAAAAAGAAGAAGAGATGAGTGTGTCAAAATCAATTTTATTCTTAAAAATTTGGAAATATAAGAAGCGAAAGGTTGTTGCCACTATAATTTAGAAAAGAAAAACATGAATAGGATAGTGGTTTTGGAATATTCTTTTGACGGAGTTTAATGAAGCACATCAGAAGTGGCCAAACAAGTTCTTCAGTTTACACAAGTCTTGGATGATCACTCGCTTAACTTCTCATCTTTTTCCTAGTTTGATTTAACATTTTTTCCTATGTTTGTTCTCTGTGAACCTATTACATTGGATCCCTAAAGCTTCAGGTTGAACTTATTCTGTTTCCTTTGTATTCCCAGTCTCCACATGTCTAACACAGATAACTCTGGTCTGGGGTAAGTGTCCGTGCTCCCATGCTTTGAAATTTTGGTCGAGTGGTATCTGAAACCTCAACCGATAGATGAATAGATGAAAGCATTATAGCAATGAATCTGTTAAAATCTTATGTCTGATTACTCTTATTTTTTGATGGATTTGATGTGTTGTCATTGAATGAGAAAGATACTGGGTCTTGCTGTGGGCGTTAGGACCAACTCTTAGGCTGAAAGCTGATCAAAGCATGCTTGGGCAACCTATTTTAATGTGCCAGCTGTCATTATCAACGACGTGATTGCAATAATATTTCTCTCCAATAATCGCTATATTCTTCTGTGATGCAATGTTAAAAATGCTGGTTTTGGAGCATTAATGTGTCGATTTCCACATTAATACAAATTCTGATAAAAAGATGGACTGTGACCTGCCTTTCTTTCCTTGATGTCCCTAATGTGCAGAAACGTGATACATTGCAGAATTTGCATAATTATGTAATAGCATCATAGTTTGACTATTTGAAGTTATTTGATTTGTTTATCTCACATGACCCTAATCATTCTATGTAGGCTGATCAGTCAGGAACAGTAGTTGAGATCCTTGCAGAAGATGGCAAGTCCGTCAGTGTTGACACTGTGAGTTCTCTGGACTAATCACTGTCGCTAATATCACAAGTGCCTCTATTTTTTCTCTGCCTATTTATGAGTTTACTCACATGACTCTTTACCATCTACAGCCTCTCTTTGTCATCAAACCATAGAGTGAATGGAGTGAGAAGCAGTGCTTATGAAAGCATGGTGTTTGCCTAAGAATTATTTGAGACCGGCGTTAAACATTTACTAGCAAGTACTGGTGGTTTTGCTTGGGTGAGACTTTAGTTAGAAATTAAACTAGTCTTGAATAATTTGTTTTCTATAGTTGTCCTAGAGTTTTAGATGTCTTTGAATCGTCTATGCATGGATAAGACTACTGTAATTTTGTTATTTTCGCTAACATAGTTATGATTTGAGGATTTGGTCATTATAAGGCGAAAGAGTTTATATGCATTATGGAATTAAAGTTCAATTTTGTGACAATTTATTTCCTTCGCTTACTATTATGTATTGTGTTGTAGATGATAGTATGTACAAGGGGCAAGGGCGTTGATATGAACTTTGCTTAGTTCAACTGTGTACCTTTTAAGGGAGGTCTTGGGTTCAAATAGCCTGGAACGCGTAAGGAAAACCTAGTTGGAACCCAATCCCTAGTTGAAGTTCGTAAAATGCATATGGGTTGAACCTGGCACAAACCACGTCGGGGTATGGAGCCGAATCTGATGGGCAGGTCTTGGTTAAGGGACGTATTGTTATTAAAAATGTGTGGTTTTGAGGATGAAGGTAGGGATTGCAAAATTCAATGTCCTCGTCCCGAATAGTAAAAAGGGGCGGGGCAGAGAATATCCAAACCCACAAATTTTTGGATTTTTTTTTTTTTTAAACTCTACATCTAACTTTAGATATGTCAACGAGCCGAGCTGAGTCGAAAAAAAAAGTTCGGGCTCAAATCGAGCTTTTTTGGGCTCGAGCCAAACCGAGCAGAGCAAAGCTCGACCAAAAAAAATGAGGCTCGGCCCAAGCCTTAGCGGGCCAGCTGAGCCCGGACCGAGCCGTTCGTGTTTTTTTTTTTTAATGTCAAATCTATATTTTTACTTAAAAAATTTTAAATTTGTACGGTTTATATGTACTATAAATTAAATAAAAAAACTCTGGCTCGGCTCGAGCTTTTTTGGACCCGAGCCGAGCAAAGCTAGGCCAAAAAAATGAGGCTCGGCCCGAGCCTTGGCTCGATGTAACCGAGCCGGGCCCTGCTTGAGCTTTTTCCGAGTCGAGCCCGAGCTGTCCAAGCTTTTTTGTCATCCCACATCTAACATTGGGTAGACCTCATACAATAACTAAGCTCTTTGTTTCATTTCGTCTAGAACAATCACAAACACTTTTTCTATTATGGATTTACAACTAAAAATTCAATGCATAATTTAAGCATTCAATGCGTATTCCTAAATAATCTCATTTTTCAAATATTCAAATATTTCATTTTACCAAGTCCAATATTATTATATTAGCCAAGTAGTCGATTTTTATGTTTCGATGTAACAACAAGATGTTATTTGTAACAAATACTTTAGTTGGTTGGTTAATTGGTGACATTTTATTCATGAATTGTGTTCACATTTTTCGATTTAAATCCTATTTAAAAAATAATAAATTAAGAGGGACGAAGAATCCAAAATAAAATTCAATCATGTCTTGCTTCCTGAAAGTCTCCTATATGATATGGGGATAGGAATGGTCATCCTGGCCCGGCCATGGTCCCGATTTGTCCCCGTTGCCATCCTTAATTGAATGTATCTGCAAGTGCATGTATATATGCTTAGCTTCCTTAAATATGCCATTTGCCCGTGTCACTTTCTTAATGATTAAAATCAGTGAATATTACAAAAAGGGAGAGGAAGAATGACACAAAGGGATAAAGCGTCTGAGGTGAATAGGGTGGCGGAGGGAGGATAGGAAGGCTGTTTGAGATGGCCGGAGAGTCGAGCGGTGGTTTAGTGTATCTTGTTTCCTTTTCATCCTAAATGGACCTTTTCTCATTCATCTCGTCAGAAATAGAGCAAATTGATTTAGTGTGAAATTTGAAATGCATAGCAGAAAATATTTACTGAGCACGTATCTTTTGAAATGCCACGATTTTGAGTTCTATAAATGTAAATTTTAGTGCAATTGAATAATTTTACAATGTGGGAAATAACTATTTGAGCACTTCCGCAGAAAAGTCGATACACTCAAAGTTCATCCTGCAACACACAGTGAAAAGAAGATTTATCTAACAAGGTTTCAATTTCCTTGCATCTTTCAAATAGTATGGTCTGAACTGACCAGGAGAAAAAAATAATAATAAGGGGATTAAACTTAAAGAAGACTGTGCCTTAACTAGATTCTGAAAATGATTTCTGACAATATAAAATCATATAGTTTCAATTTCCTCTTTTTCGAACAAAAGTACTATGCTACACCCTTGAAGAGAAGAAGAATAAATCTCGAATCAACTGAAGAAGTCCTTCTTTCGCGAGCCAAGGTAGTTTCTAGGTTTTCCTCGACGGCCTAGTTTTTGTTGGGAATTTACTTAATATGAACAGCGGAAATAAAACAATTTTCAATTCCAAAACGAGGATCTGCAATGTGTTTAGATAGAAACTGTGATGAGAATGATACCTTTGATGAATTCTACAAACTCATATACTTTTTCTTGAACTCCAATGATCACGATCTGCAATCCCAGCTGTCCAATTGTCCGGCCTCCAATGGTGATCCACACAGAGAACAAGAATGATGGCTAGGGTTTTCTTTTCTTGTACTAGCAAGAATAATGAAAAATTTCATACTGTTTTCAAACCCTAGTAGCCTATTAATATAAGTCCAAATGGGCTCGGCCCATCTGTTAAACTTAACCCAGTCCAATATTTAATTAATCAAATTAATTAAATCTGGTCCATGAATTAATTAATCCAATTAATTAATTCGGGCCTATTAATAAACAACCCAATTAATTAATTATCCAACGCTTGTCAATTAATTAATTGGTAAATCTCATTCTTCTGATTTTCTTTTGTGTGTGATCCATTAGGTTCCCGATCACTATACCTAACGACGTGAATTATTATTTTGATCTAATCAAAATCGATAAATTAAAACGCCCCTTTTAATTTATCACTAATTCACTTTCGTTGTCCCAGATTGACATCTAGCAATGTGTCAGGGCAATACACGTGACGGGAAATATCACGTAGTATGACAAAACCAAACTTGTTCGTTTACCGTGAAACTATAATCATTTCGTCAATATGATCCAATCAATTATGAGATATGGATATGTGTCAATCTCAATTATCGATCATATCTTTTATCCCACTGTTAAGTCAATGTACGTCGAAAACTCTTTTCCGACTTATGAGTTCACCTTGGCCAAGGATTTCATTATTAACTTAACTGGATAAAATGTAGATCATAATCTCTTACTATCTAAGAGTGACGAATCCTCTATTGATCATTCACAACCTTCATATGATTCTTGACATACCCGAACGATGCTGTATTAGCGACCCTTGACAGAGCAACATCCAACACCACCAAAGTATGTCTGCCTTCATATAAGGTACTATGATGACCTCAAGTCAAAGGACCAATTCCACTACCGAACGTTAGAGATTAACCACTAACACTTAGATAGTTATCCATGTGGAATCTCTCAGTGGGTCTCCAATGTTTTGTTCTATAACAAAACATCCACGTGTTCATTCAAATGTCACCACACTTTAGCTTGTGAGATCAGCTACTTACTTCACAAGTAAGAATGCCACACGCGATAGTCTATCCGTAATAACGATATCCGTATCTCGTTATTACTTCGACCACGGACGATTTAAGATTCAATCATATGTAATTTGTATCTCACAATCACAACTCCTTGTGATTAACAAATCACCAAGACTTGAATCTACGGATTCTATTATTTAATTTATTAGAATATTAATTCAATTAAATAATAGATATTGCCATATATATGCATTGATTATATATATTCAAAGTGTTTATGTCCAAAATTGATTGGACCTAGGGCATAACACTTACAGTTTTCTCCTCTTGGATTGGTAGGGATGGAGAGGAGTTTGCCCGAATTATATGAAAACTTGAGGTTAACTGAGGACAAGAAGCAAGAGGTGGAGGTTGGGGAGGAAGAAATTCTTTTATCCGTAGAGAAAAGCAAGCAATGTATAACCTTCAGAGTGATTTCGGACCGTGAGGTGAATAAAGGGGCTTTGAAGAACACAATGCTGAAGGTCTGGCAAGTGGAAGGGAAAGTTGTTATTAAGGATGCGGGACGTAACAAATTCTTGATTGAATTGAAAAGGATTGACGATAAGAAGAGAATCATGAAGGCAGACCATGGTCATTTGATGAACAATTGCTCTGTTTACAAGATTGTAAGGGTGCTGTCTCCATCAAAGACATTCTGTTTCAAGAAGAAGCTTTCTGGGTTCAATGCCATGATCTACCATTTTCTGGGATGAATCAGAAAGCGGGTTATGACATTGGTTCGCGTTTGGGGAAGGTCCTTTGGGTAGATACGAACAGCGGTGGAATTTGTTTAGGAGAGTTTCTACGAATTAAAGTATTAATCGATATATCCAAGCCTCTCTCAAGGGGAAGATTTCTCAACCTAGGTGAGACCAAATACTGGATTCCATTCAAATATGAAAGGCTTCCGAACTTCTGTTATCATTGTGGACTTCTCAAACACCAGCCTGGACGGTGTAAGAAGAATAAGGTTCTGCCATTGGGTCGGATTGGAACAGCAATATGGAGCGTGGTTACGTGCAAGTGGCAAGAAACCAGACGTGGCTTTTTCAAATGCTGGAAGTGCTCTCATTCTGGAAGGGCAACCAGAGTCTAATCGCCTGGAGTATTACGACCATGTTCAGAGTGGAGTAGAGCATAATAGAGAGCATATCTTAGCTGCGGACATCCGGGATCAGCTACAGAACTATCCCCTAAATTCGCGGAAGATATTTCTGGATTTTAGGCTACTAGGACAAACCATGATTACAAGGAGAGTCCAGCGGATGCTAAGAAGGACGATTTGACCGCCCAGGCCATAATTAAGGAAAAGTTAGGAGTCCAGCAAGAGCCCAACCCAAGTGAGGTATCTCCTTCACTTCCACTG